TATATATATATATATTAAGAATAGACATGCTTGTTCTGGGTAGGAGTTAAAAAAAGATAGATTTTTTGCTGGAAAGGAAAAAAACAAAAAAAGAAAGAAGAGGATAGATTTGTATATATGACTCGTTCTTCATTTTAGTTCTTTAAAATGCCTCTTAATTTCTCCATATTGAAGTTACTAATTGAAAAAAAAAAAAAATTCTGGTGAAATTATTAATTGAAAGTGATCTTTGAATTATTTCTCTTTTCCTTTTTAGTTTTAACAAAAAATTGATGTCTTACGCATAATCAGCTAGAAGAATAAAATTGATTCCCTCAATTCATATATTATTAGATTAGCAAAAAAGTTCATATATTGTTAAAAAAAATTTATATATTGTAAATCACTATAAACACAAAGCTTGAGTATGCTTCAAGTCTGTAGAGAAAATTGATCAATAACGAGTTAAATAATTTTAAATAGCTTGTTTGGTTTATAGGGATGAAGAGGGAGTATAAACAGAAATATCTTTTTAATTATAGGTATTGTTTTAGGAGCATTATGTCTAAATGCTTGTTAGAGAATACTATATTAAAGAGATTTAAGCTATGGTAGGAAGTACGAACTGCGAGCCAAACAAGCAGTTAGTATCGATCAATAAAAAGAATAATAATAACAAAATTCAATATTTAGAAAATCAAATTCTAGAAACATATTTTAAACAAAATTGTAATTCTGATAAAAGACAAAAAAAAAAAAGAGAGAGAGAGAGAGAGAGAGAGAGAGAGAGAAATTTACGTATTAGAACGTCTTTAGAAAAGCACTCTAAATTTTAGTTAAAATAAGAAACTCTTTAAATTTTAGCTTAATTTTAATTAAAATAGCTAATTTGTTATTTTAATTAGTAATTTTTTAACGAGTCACTTTAATCATATTTCTTATTTTTTATAAATATATATTATTTTAATATTTAATTTTTTGAGAATATTATTTTAAAATATAAATAAATTTATTAAATTATAAAAGAATCTTTGCATTTATTATAATTGAAAGAATAAAATAATACAAAAAATGAAATTGCTAGTCTTTCATACTAACTACATTTAGGCCTCGTTCAGTTCGCTGATTTGAGTTTTCAATTCGAGCTGAGATATGACTTTATGTGAGAGGTTTTAATTGTAACAAAATTAGAATTGAGAACTCAAATCGGTAAAATGAACGAGACCTTAATTAGTGTAGAAAATATTCTCTAAAATAATTAATCATTTAGCTAAAGGTTGGAGTGAAGAAAAATTAAAAAAAAAGTAAAATCATTAGTTATTTTACCTAAAAACATAAAATAATTAGTATGGTTAGAGTTTTTTATGTCACTAAAATCTGCTGACTTTAGATTTAAATCTAGTTCTTACTATCTTTGTTGATTTAAAGTATTACTGTAGATGTCCGGTCATTTTGTGAATACAAAAAATAGCCTAATAGAATATTAAAAGATATTTTCTAGTGAAATAGAATGACGTAAATATTAAACTTTAAATTTTATGTCATTGGCTAATATAAATGTAAAGATAATATATTTTTTAGCGGCATTTTTCTAGCTGATTTTTTGTGTTTCTCTCTAAAAAAAAATGTTAACGGTACTTAGATTTATAGTTCGTGATTTGTTATAATATTTTTTCTCATAAAAATACACATAAATTAAAAATATTTCTAATTATATAGTTCTAATTTATGAACCAAACAGCATCGTTCACTTCGCGAATTTGAGTTTTCAATTTGAGTTGAGATATGACATTTTCTGAGAACTTTTCACTATAACAGAAAAAGTTAGATATGATATTTTTTAAAAAAATTTTACTGTAAAAATTTAAAACTAAAAATTCAAATCGGTGAAATAAACGAGACCGTAATTTGTCATACTAGGGGTGTGATTTGGCAAAGCAAAGACTCCGAAATAAAACGCTTCGTATTTCAGCAAGCAAAAAAAAAAAAAACGCTTCTTTTTTAAAAAAAAAAAAAAAAAAAAAAAAAAAAAAAAAAACGCTTCGTCGTTTGTGTTGCAAGAAAGTGACAAGGAAATACGATGTAGCATGATGTACGAGTACGAGGATTCTCTGCTTGAGGAGCTCTGTCTTTATCTCTTTTGCAATCTCTTCACCGATTACTCTTATCACTATCTCACTTCACTTGCTCTTAAACGTTTGCAGTCTCTTCAGAACTATACCCATTTCTCCATTTTTGAACCCTTTTCACTTATAGTTCAGAGTTCGAAATTTTTTTGCTTAAATTCTTAAAAGACAAGAGTATTCGTTTTTCAAACCATTGTCAAAATACCGATTATGAAACCTAGATTTGGTGTTCTAATGAAGCTTCGTCGAGTCTTGTTTCCCATTTCGCCATATCTGTTTTCTTCTCCAAGAAATTCGGCGTGTTTAGTCCGAACAGTGTGTTCGGGCACCACCCGTTCGACGATTTGCCAAGCCCAAGTAGAAAGTGTAAAAGAAGAAAAGGAGGACAACCCCAAGGACTCTAAAGAAGTTTTAAGGAATTTTGGTTGCAATGAAGAGGAAATATCGAAGTTATTTTTGCTCCGGCCTTCGTTAAAGAATCCCGTCCTTCCGCAACTTCAATTCAAGCTCAATTTACTTAAGGGGTTGGGAGTTACTCCTTCTGACCTTGTGAGGATCGTGAACTGTCGTCCTCGGATTCTTAGTTGTCGAATCAATCATCGCTTCAATGAACGGTTTGCGTATTTCATGACATTGTTCGAGTCCAAGGAAGTCCTTCTCAAAGCCATTATTAGGAACCCTTCTTTGCTGACATATGATTTTCAGAACATGGTCAAGCCCGTCATAGCGGTCTACAAAGGAATGGGACTAAGTAAGAAGGACTTGAGTGCAATGCTTCAACTTAGGCCGACGATAATTCCTCGCACTTCTTTTGGCGACGAGAAGATGGAGTACATTCGCAAAACGGGGGTTTCACAAACCTCGAAAATGTACAAGTATGTCGTCACACTCATTGGCGTGTCTCGCCTGGAAACAATTCGGCAGAAGGTCGGGAACCTTGAGAGGTTCGGGTTCTCAGAGGAGGAGGTTTTAGAGCTCGTGGGGCGGAGTCCTCTCCTGCTGACTCTATCGATGGATAAGGTTCAGAGGAACATGACTTTTGCCTGCTGAGGTGGTGCTTAAGCGTCCGAACTTGTTGTTGTCAAATTTGGAGGCAGTGATGAGGCCGCGGTTTCTTCTCGCGGAGAAGATGAAGGAGATGGGGTTGGAGCTGAGGATCAAAGCTTGTGACATGATGAGGGCGTTGAGGATGAAGGAGAAGAGGTTCCTCAAGGCGTTTGTGATGTGTCAACGGGAGGATGTTGCCGACGAATTGATGAAGTTCTATGAGAGTGCTAAAGGGATCAAGAGGTTGGCAGAGACCTCTAAGAAGAATGTAAACCAAGGATTTCCTTTCTGATTGAAATCTTTTGTAGTTTTGTTTTCTTCTTTGGCAATTTGGTGGTCTATTTGTTCTTTCTCTCCTCTTTGAGAACGTATTTTTTCCCGTATTTATCTCATGAATTTATCTCATGACTATGAGATAAGGAATTTTGCAACGGACAATTATAATTTTTTGCAATCCATTCAAATTTGTTGGGGCTTATTTTATTTTATTGTATTTACTATTTCTTTAAGATCATTAGTCTCTCTTTCTTGATTTATGAGGAGGTATCACTTGATTGCCCAAGGATTGCGTTATTGTTCATTATAAATCACTATAATACTTGCCTTTTGTTAGAAGGAAACCTCGACTAATGATGCCGTTTTTTCTGTAATATTTGTCATACGGCAGCTTTCTAAAAGATATTCTTCCCTCTGCCTGTATGTTTGTGGCACCTGGATTCCGGAAAACATCACACTTGTGCCAAATAGGACAATACAGCGTTGACCTAGTCAATTTTGCTTTGTGGGCCAACATATGAAAAGGCTAGTTAAAGCGAAGAACAGAAAAGGAAATTAAGGCAAAGAATTACCTTTTCTAATCTTCAATGGAAGGAACACGAGATTGGCTACAGCACAAGGTTCAAAGGCTACGAGAAAAGGGTCAGTTAACTCTCATCTTTCCAATATTTATATATGCTGCAATCTGTTTCTTCACCGAGTGTGTAATTTACTTGTTATTTCCTTGCCATCAATTTTGCATATTTGGGTTGGTATTTTTCACTTATGAATTGATGATTGTGTTTGCAAACTTGCATATGATTTTTGCTAATTTGTTTCATGATTAAATATGAACTTCCTATAATGATCTATATACAAGTTTCTGTATATTATTCCAAAGTTTACCAAGTGGATGAAAGAAGAGAAAATAAAAAACCAGTAATTAAATTGAGTTAGTTCGTGTTGGAGATCAAAGCTGTTGTGTGAAAAGATTTTTCAGAATTCTCATAATTTTTTTTTTTTTGGTTGATGATTTTTCAGAATGCTCATGATTTATTTGTCTAAATTTCTCTAATATTAACTAGTAAGCCCAACATAAGAAGGAAAAAAAAAAAAAAAAAAAAAAAACTCTCAAATTAGATCAAAGGCAGACCACGACAATTTGAAAAAGAATAATAGAGCAATTAATACAGTACTTTGAACTGGGAACTTATGCTCCAACACCATGTTAGTTTACCTATTCTTCACAAAATTTTAAGCTATTAGAAGGTTGGCCAATAATATTTCTATCTTCTAACTTTTGTTGATTTCAGTTTATAAAGTTGTTATTTTAACAAAAACTTCCCGAAACTCCCAGGAATTCTTAGAGAAAAAGGGTCAGAGCATACAATATGGTGGACCGAGAAGGACAAGGAGATATCATTTTTGGAAAATGGAAGAAAGTTATTAGAAGAGCTGATGTCTTCAAGTAACGGTAGATGTAATCCAATTCGTAGCTTCTCAGCACAACAACTCCACAACACCACAAACAGCTTCGATCAATTTGAATCCTATTGTCATAGTACCGATTTCGACTAGTACAAGGGTACTCTGGATCATGGCCGCCGCGTTTTAATCAAGCGCTATAGAGATGACACCATAGAGTATGACAAGGCGAATGGTGGGCCATATTGCGACATTGTCATAAGTTCATTGATGAGCAGCCACAAAAATGTTCTCAAGCTACTTGGTTGCTGTTTGGAGTTCCCTGATCCAGTTTTGGTTTATGAATATGCGGAAATTGGACCACTCAACTCTTGGGGAGGAACCAACACCAATATTGAATCTAAGAGATTATTATCTTGGAAAACGAGGTTGAAAGTTGCGAAAGGCATCGCTAATGCTCTAACATACTTGCATGGGGCATTTTCTAGGCCTATCATCCATAGGAACATAAAGCCTCAAACTGTGATGTTGGATGAGAATTTTGTTGCCAAGTTGTGTGACTTCTCATGGTCAATATTGATTCCCCAAGGGGAAATGGTGGCCAAAGATGAGATTGTGGGGTCATTGGGATTTGTGGACCCTGCCTATTTTGGCACAGGATGCGTGGCTGAGCAGACTGATGTCTATGGCTTTGGGGTGTTTATGATTGTGCTTATAACAGGACGGAATGCTTGTGATTTGAGTCTACCTGAAAACTCTACCAACATATGCAGTTATGTAAATCATATGATTGAACAGAATTGTGTCACTCAAATTATAGATCCTAAGATTTTGGAAGAGGAAGGAGGAGTGAATCAAGAGCGACAATTGCATGCATTTTTAGGACTCGCCTTGAAATGCACTCAAATCAAGAGAGAAGATAGGCCGCTAATGATACAAGTCACAAAACAACTTTGCCAGATCGAGAACTTAAAGCAGTAGGAAATGCACAATTTCATATCCATGGTCTACACACAATCAAGGGAAATACAAGTTCTAGAAGACAAAAGAGAAAGGGAGAAGAAGGAAATAAAACTCGATGAAGAACAAGCTCCAAATCTTCAAGCCCCTGTCCAATCTTCAAGCAAGCCTCCAAAATCCTTGTATTTTCCTCTTTTGGTTATGTACTAGTGTTTTTCAGAGTCCCCCCAAGTTTTAGGTCAAGATCTATTTATACTCCCCTTGAAAACTGTAGTGACCAAGAAAATCCCAGAATTTTAATAATGTAATTCATGTATTCAAGTCAAGGATTTTCTTGAAAAATCATTATACTATATACATTTTGTGATTGAAGGATTTATGGAATTAACATCTGCATTCCTAAATTCTGTAGCAGATTTCACGTTAAGTTCACGTTTTTCCGATCAAGCAAATTCGATCGATAAATTCTCACCGTGCTTTAAAATGGAAGAATTTCCAGTACAGATACAGTTTGAGAATCTTAATTTTAAGAATCTCCCAGCACAGTACAAACTAGCATTCAGTACCCGTATACAGGAAAAAATAGCTGTCAGTATAATTTTGGACAGTTTGAATAAGTAACTTTAGGGAATGGACAAAAGTACAAGGGGTAGGTTAGTGTGTGTGATGAGAGCGGTGAATAGGACTCATGATTACTTTTTTTTTCTCCTTTTTCTCTTCACTTGGCCGGCCATCTTCAAGGGTTTATAGCCAAAAATTTTGGTTAAATGTTGAGTGTGCTAGAGAATTGATGTGATAGTAATGATTGAAAGGAAATCATGACATTTCTTCCTTCACTTTTTCTCTTCACTTGGCCGGCCATCTTCAAGGGTTTATAGCCAAAAATTTTGGTTAAATGTTGAGTGTGCTAGAGGGTTGATGTGATAGTAATGATAGAAAGGAAATCATGACATTTCTTCCTTCACTCCTTCTCTCACATTGGCCGGCCATCTTCAAGGGGTTTAAGCAAAATTTTTGTTAGTTAAGTAGATTAAAGGAGGTAATAACCTAGTGGTCTATAAATAGAACCAATGTGATCTAAGCCTAACTTTTACTTTATCTCACTTCCTTCTCCGTATCCAAAACCGGTTCTCCAAAGCTCTAACCCTCAAGTTTTCTAAACTTTTCCCTCACCAAAACCAAGTCATCCCTTACCTCACACACTTAAAAGTTCCCATAAATCTCACCACAAATCCTAGTTTAAGTTGAAGGAGAAAATGATGAGTCTAGACAAGCATTTCTCCAAGGGTAAAAACTCTAAAATTCTCTCTTTTTTTTTCATGTTTTAGTAAAGTTGGAAATGTAGAAATATTCTTCTCAAATTTCTTTATCCTCTTCTAGCCAACTTTAAGCTTGGATTTATGGATGTAAATTTGTGGTTCTTGAAGAGATAAGATTGTAATAAGGGTGTGTGAGTTTTATGTTGGTTTTGTGAGTTTTGAGGTTAGTTTGATGTGGTATGTTTATGCTTAATCTAAGTTGCTTATTTTCGGATTAGAGGAAAAATTTTCTGGTGACTTTGACCGCGAAAATGAGGATCCTAGAGCGAGATTTTTCAATGTTTCAAAACTTTAACTTATAGCCCTGGATGTTTTGAACATTTTCGGTTACTATGACAAAACCTAATTTTAATTCTAAAACCAAGTTTGAAGTCATTTTACAAAAACAGACAAGCTGTCCAACACAGTTTTGAAAAAAAAGCTGGCAGCCACTGGTTCAGCCAAACGGGACCCTTAGAGGCTCAATCTCGATTTTTCACAAAAGTGACAATTTTAGATTTCAACGAGACTAAGAAATTTCATGAAGAAAGTATTTTCAAAATTCGACCCTAAGAGGTACTAAAACACAGATTCCCGAAACGACACAGTTTTTGACTAAAACAGTTTCAAGAAAAACAGCAGCCACGGTTTTCAGCCAAACGAGGCCTTTAGAGGCCGAATTTCAACTTTTACCAAAAACAAAAATTTTAGATCTTGACGAGACGAGGAATTTTTGCGAAGAACAAAATTTTAAAATCCAAATCTAAGATACAGTAACATGCAGATTTCAGAAACTGCACAGTTTTTAACAAGACAAAACTGAAATAGTGTCAGTTTCAACAAAAAGTTATAAAAGAACCCGAGATATAATTTTAGTAAAATTGATGTGGTATGTTTATGCTTGATCTAAGTTGCTTATTTTCGGATTAGAGGAAAAATTTTCTGGTGACTTTGACCGCGAAAATGAGGATCCTAGAGCGAGATTTTTCAATGTTTCAAAACTTGAACTTATAGCCCTGGATGTTTTGAACATTTTCGGTTACTATGACAAAACCTAATTTTAAATCTAAAACTAAGTTTGAAATCATTTTACAAAAACGGACAAGCTGTCCAGCACAGTTTCAAAAAAAAACTGGCAGCCACTGGTAACATTTTTTTTTTTTTTTTATATATAAGAAAGAATACTTTCATAATTTGTAATAATAATTTCAAATAAGTGAATCACTAAATTTCTTAAAGCTTTTCTTAATTTCAGTTAAGATAAAACGTTCTAAAAATATCTTTCAAACAGAGCAGCATTTGAACTCTTATTTCAAATGCTCTTTAAAAGTCTTTCTAAAACTAGCCAATTCAATCGGGCCATTTAATTTTGACTTTAAAACGGATTTCGTGAGAAATCTTAAATTCAAGTACATCTTAAAGCCCTTTTAAAATCAATCATTTAAATCGTCATGTTTAAAATTTATTTATTTGTTGCATGCTCTGTTGCAACGTTCTAAAACTTAAATACTCAAAACGAGGGTTGTTAGCTACAACCTCGGTTTCCTTAACATACATATGTACCTATACTTTTTAAACATACATGCTTGAAACCTTTAAATCATATATACATATACATGATTTTTCTTAAACTTACTGCGGAAGATAACTGCG